TTCCATTGCATCAGAAGAGCGGAGTGGCCAACCGCTGTCTACATCCCGACCCAAATTCTCTGCTTGTGGTGCTGCATGTGTGAAGGGTACATGGAAGGTTTTCTAAATAACACACTTGGAAGTAATCCTGTGTTTTATTTAGAGGGGCAAGTACCTGCAAATGGCAGCTTGGATGGTGAGGAATTCATCTGCTTCTTGGTCCTTGGCATCATCATTCTAATGACATCACAATCTTTGCCATAGCAATTAACTTAAAGTGAGAGGTGGGAGCTGCTGGACCTCTCAATGAGCCCCCATCATCCAATTATTTGCATATATCTAGTAGCAGCCTCCCACCCTGGCACCGGTGAGAGAGGGAGAATGGTTTCTAAATCAACAGTTTGCCATAGAGTTGTATTGCTTTAGCTTGCTAAGCTGATGTGCTTCCTTAGGGACTAAGCATCAGCGCAGACTCTGGAGCATAAAAAGGTTAAAAGGAAATTAAAGTGGAGAGGGAGAGATTGTCTCTAGATTAACCCTGGCCTGTTCTGGATTAATGATTGCCCACCATTTGACCTTGTAAAGGCTGCCTGTGGTGTTTCTTCTCCACACCCCAGGATTACTGGCAATGTGGTTTCTTCTTTAATTGTCTGGTTTCCACAGGCCCATTTTAGTAAGGGAGAAACTGCACAAGGTCAAACAGTCCATCAAGTTCCTTTATGTCCCGTCAGCTTGAGTAGCTCTTGTAACTATGGTAAGTGCAACACTGTCAGACAGTAATGTGTTTTTCAAAGGGAGGGTGTTCCTTTAAACAAATACACCGGCTTGTGAAGTAAGCCTCTTAAGTATTGGTAAGAGTTTACCAGAAATCATAAACAATGACTGGACTATCCTTATCCTCAAATGAACTTTCACACGTGTATAGATTCTCAAAGGGTAGCATGCAAACGATGCACAATTTTTTTCAGTCATATACACTCCATTGTTTTGATTAGTTTTATTGGCTTGGCAGCTACGCTACATTGATCTAAGGGTGAGAGGAAACTCCCCAGCAGGGATGTTGGGTCAAAAGCCCTGCTAATGGCACATGGCTGCCTGATATCTATGAATGCTTAATTTTACGCTCCATACTTTTTTTTCAGCTCTTCTGCTTTTGCTATGTAATTCTTCATGGCATTGGCCTTGCTCATCCCTTTGCGTCCATTCCAGGCCTCCCATTTGGCTTTGCCTGTTACATCGGTTGCACAAGGGCAGGGGATGTTGATGTCCCCGATGGTGGCTTGTTTGTAGAGACTGTAAATCTCCAGTTTTTCTTGCTCGGAGATCGGAATCTTCATTTCCCTGACCATAGCAGCGACTTTCTCAAATTCCGCCTGAGACATGGTGAGAGTTCAGCGTCAGGACTGCTGCTTCCTTCCGCGGTGGAGGGCTTGCCAAGATTCTCAAGGGCTGACCCAGGCCCCGACAACTGGAATGAAGGAGAGTTGCAACAGCAGAGTAAGATTTTTAAATGCCTCAATGGAAGAGTGTAACTGCCTTTAGCAGGAGCAATACAATTTTCAAATGGCCTTAAAATTAATCCCAGATTAGGGGAGTTAGCAGCTTTTACAGATTTTTTACAGTCAATTCTTCTTGGACCTAGCATTACTTTTCCTTTTGGAGACAGGATCTTGGGGTCTGTTTCTCTTTATGTTTGGCAGTTAGTCTCTCTACTGGGATAAACATGGTATAAAAATATAGACTGTCTATAAATAAAGCTGGTTTGTAAAGTATGTAGCCATTTATTCATTAGAAACCTGCTAAACATATGGACAGCTTTAGTTTCCCTTTGTAACCAGTGTGGAAGAAGATCAAAGGAAGACCATTACTCAACGAAAACAAATTGAGCTAGGAATTTGGTCTTAGCTCTATCTATGTCAGTCTGGATTTCAGTGGCATTGCTCTGGATTTCTGCTAAGAAGAATTTAACCCTCTGTGCCTATATATTGGCAGTTTGCCTCAGAAAGAACAGTGTTACCACCTGTTCTGCTATTTATTTTGTGTTTTTCTTAAAGCCCCCCTTGCTGGAGTGGGGTGATTACCCCACAATCTCAGCTTTCATTTAAGAGGAGGTAGAAAAATCTAAGTTTCTATCCCTGATCATTGCAGAGAAAAACCTGAAAAATGTGACTTAAACATTTAAAAATCCAGAAGGCAAATAAAAAGAAACCAAGTATTATTTTTAAAGTTAATTTTTATGGGCCTCATATATGATTTTGGAAACCTTGAGTTTAGTAATACTGGAACAGAACCAAAACCCCACCTTATCCCCATGCTGAACTTTTGTGCCTCCAATGACTGTCAGTCATATGTAAATAGCTGTGATATATGCCCCTGAGCTAGTCCAGCAGTGGAAGTTTTTGTGCTATACTAAAATAGATATGTATAAAGTGCCCTGTCATTGTAGCACCTAGCTAAGCAATTAGGGTGACCAGATGTCCTGATTTTATAGGGACAGTCCTGATTTTTGGGTCTTTTTCTTATATAGGCTTCTATTACCCCCCACCCCTCTCCCGATTTTTCACATTTGCTGTCTGGTCACCCTATAAGCAATGCACCTATGACTATTGACGAAACTACTTCTCTATAACCAATTGCTGGCTGCTTGTAAGTTCCTTACGAGGTCTGGGCCCTCTGTTTCAAAGCTGGGTGCACCCAAATAAGAGTGACCCAGCATCTTCTACAACGAATCTGGTTTGGCTGAGGTGCCTCAACACGCTGGCTTTGGGGGGGGGTGGTTCTCCCAGCCCCCTTTCATTAAATTTAAAAATGATGCTCTAACACCCTCCCACCCCCCCAATGTCGGGGGTGTC